CCAATCAACACGTAGACATATATCCACATACCTCTGGTACAGGGTGACTACTTAATGCACCCTCCATGTTGGGACACTTGTGAGAGAGATGGGTGTTCTGTTAACAAACAAGAACAGGTCTAAACTGGGGTGGACCAAGGTGAACGGGGAACTTGGACACTGGCCACAGTCACGTAGATCATTCTGGCACTTTGGCTTAGGTCTTTTAAAAATGTCACCCTCTCAGGGAGGCCTTCCTTGACCTCTGTTTAACCTTGCAGCACATTCCTGCCCCACCCATAATGTCTGTGCCGATTTATTTTTCTCCATGGTGCTAACACCTCCTGACAGAAGTGAGTACATGTTAATTAGCTATAAAACTAAACTTCAGGAGAACTGAGGACATTTATCTCTTGTGTTCAGTATGCTGAACCCCCAGCATCTGGATCATCATCAGTACATAGGTAGTCGGTAAATATTTGCTGAATGAATGGAATGGGGTTGGGGAGGGAGGGTCCTGTTTCTTGAAGTCTTTCTTATTTGCATCCCCTTCCTAAATTATTTTTCTTGTCTTTCTATTTATTTTGCTAACCCTTTGGTAATTTGAGACCCTGGAAGAGTTTTCCAGTGCCCTAAGCAAAGCTAAACGAAAGCGACCATGACTTCCTCACACTGGGAAGGAAGCTTGTGCCCACTCTGGCTGCGCCCATCAGTGCAGGAGGGAGAAGAGGCACTTTTTCCTCAAGGAAGTCACTCATTGCCGGCATCCCCAGTTGTGATAACCAGGCCCTGGGGGCCACGCCAGCTTCTGGGAAAAGGGGGCTGGCACCAGAACCGAGGACCCGCTCGAGGCTGGAGCTGGGGGCTGCGGTCTGCACGCTTCCGCCTTCTCTTCGGTCTGTCTGGCACCCGGGGTGGGCCGTGGATCAGGGCCCAGCCTTTCCTCACCCAGTATCCTCAAGGTTTCTTTCCTGAAACAGCCTCAGAGGAAAAGGAGGGTGAGATGGATGGAGGCAAGGGGTGGGCAGACCTGTTATTTATTGTTGAAAATGGTAACGGGGTCGTTCTCCTGCCTGCCTGTCACTGTCAGGCGTTGCTTTCCACAGGCCTCTTCTCTGCTAAACAGCAGTGGCAGCTCTTCCTGTCCACCATGCCTGCTGCTGCTTCTCCTTTCCTTTTCAAATATCTAATAATATTATATCTATATTATCTAATAATATCTAATAATATTATATCTATATTACCTACAGATATATATAATTATATATGCCTGTATGTATCTTTTATTTATATATCTACGTAAAGAAAGAAATTGGCAATTGAATTAGCTCTCACAGACCTGATGGAATCAGAGAAAAATTTCTGGACATCTCAGGGTGAATTTCACACTTGATGAAGATGGGTGTCACCCCCACAGGTGGGCTTGGGCCCTAGGAGCTCAGATCAGAGTTTTGTGCTACTGTAAGGACAAGAGAATTAATCACCCAAAAGGTTTTATTTAGGTTTTCCTGAAGCTCTGCCATGGCCCCATAGCAGGGGCCAAAGTTCCAGTGAATGGGAGATGGGAGAGTAAAGTAGCTGCTGGGTCTGTTGAAAAGTCATGTCAATAAGTAGCGAAGAGAGCGGAGGGAAAGAGTTTCTGAAATGTAGCAGAAAGCCTGAAAAGGGAAAGCTGGAGGAAACTGATTCCTCCTCACTGTGTCAATATATTGGGCTGTCGGGAAAGTCATGATGCAATACGTCACCCCAACAGTTGGGAGCCAAAGAGGCGGGGTCCTGTCCTGTAGAAAGCCACTTTGTGAAACCAAGAAAATTCCCACTACCACATCCTCAATTCAGAAAACCCAAGTTCTTGGCAGCACGTGGGAGAGGAGTTTAGCCTTCTAGTTTCATTTCCTGTGAGATACATGCACACCGGCCTGTTCTTCACACCTCTGTGTCTCAAATGCTCCCTCCACCCCCAGCATTTAAAGCCTGATCTCTTGGACCTTAGCTTGATGGCACCGCCTCTGAAGCTTTCTCTGGGACTCAGACCGGCCCTCTCCTCTCAGGTTCCTATCTCCCCGCCCTCAGCTCTGTTCCCCACTTAGTGTGGAGGGGCACCACCATCAGCCGCCCCCACGTGGGGTGCAGCTCCTGGAGGCAGGGATGTGACTGACCTCACCCTGTGCTCCCTCGGTCCTGTTGTGAGCAGGGAAGGGCTTTCCCCGCCCCAGCTCTCTGGTGCGAGCACACAGTCGACTCAGTCACTTTTTTGCTGAGCAGAATTGATCCTGGGTTAATCAGATGAACACATTATACAGTAGACGGACCTGTCTCCTCTTCCCCTCCCACTCTGGGCAGTAACGGCTCTCTGGCGAGTACACCTTGATCCAGGCTGGGGTACTTATGCTGGGGGGCACCGCTGTTTGCTTTGCTCAGTCCTGACTGAGGTGTGCTTTCTTTGTTTTCTGCCGCCAGCCCCACCTGGCCTCTCCATTGTCCCCAGCCTGGAGTGGATGTTTCTCCTGCCTGAGCTCCCTGTCTCCACCTCTCCTCCCCCACATATTCTGGGCTCTGCACAGCCAGGGGAAGACTGAGGAGCAGCCTCTCATTCCTGCGGCTCCGGTTAAGGGCAGCCACTTTCTTTCTATCGGCTCACTTTTGGTTTCCTGAGAAAGCTTGTTCCTGAGCAGACTGTCTGGGAATACAGGACCCAGTGGCCTGGGGTGGGAAAGATGGGGCCTGTGATCTTCGGAAACCTGCTCCCCTGTGGATAGAAACCCTGCTGTCGGAGAAGAAAACGGGAGGGTGGTTGTATACATGGGCCCTGAAGCCAGGCTGTCAGGATTCTAGTCCTGCCACACCACCTTCTTGCCTCGACGCCCCAGTGAAAATGGGGTCACACTGCGCCTGCCCTGCCCCTTCACTTACAGGTGGCTGTTGAGCCCCACCTATGGGCAAGTGGTTCTGGGAGCCTAGGAAATAGCAGTGATGAGGACAAATGACTTGATACATTAAAATCCTTAGTACAATGTCTTGCACGTGTTGAATTTGTGGCAAGTAGATAAATTTTGTCTTCCTAGCACTTTTCTGAGCCAGGCATGCAGCAAGGATAACTTTTGTCAGCAGCAGCAGGGCCAGATCTCTCTGAAACAGGCAAGGACACAGGAAGCCCAAGATAGCGGTTTTTGATTTGGATTTGGGTCCAGGGCAAGCACTGGCTTTCATACCTAGTGCTTCATTTTGAGCCTATGTGAACTGGCTACTGATCACCTTGGAACATCTGAGTCCCTTTGGCCGCACAGGAAGGGCAGATGGAGATGACCCCGAGAGCCCACAACTGTCTCCCCATCTGCAGAAGCTCAGTTCCTCCTGGAGCCATGTGAGAGAGGATAGTTTCTTGATAGTATTAAAGGAGGTCCTGGAGGCATGTCTAGAAGGAAGAGCAAGAACCTCTGGCCTCTTGACCGGCAGGGCTCCTGGCCACAGAGCGCGGCCTTCTGCCAGAGGAGACGGTTTGGGGCTTGGAGAGCTAACGAGGAGGGAGCGAGGTAGAGTGGAGGTATGTGACGTGCGAGCTTGCCTCCATCTCAGTTCATTCCTCCAGGAATGCTACAGAAGAGAGGGCTGTGAGACTCGTGTGAGCACGGGCTAGAAGCAGTCTGCACCCAACGCTCCTGAGTCAGTGTCTATGGTTTCCAGTGTCTATGGTTTCCAAGCCTGATACAGTCTTGATGGGGTGTAGGCTTGGAATAGAAATGTCTGTACAGACGAACAGCTTTGCAGCCGCCACCACGCTCAGGGAAGGAGAACTATGATCCTGGTTGTGGCTCAGAGTCTCCTTCATTGCTTCCTCCCTTCTGTGTTCCACCCTCTTCCACGATGGTTTGCAGGAGTGAACATCCTATTGCAGAGAAAGTGCCCTTGGGTTGGTTCCTTGACTGCAGCCTGGCTTCTCTTGGAGACCTGCTCACTCGGCCCGGAACCATGACAGCTTTCCGGCCTAGGGACACGTGAAGTAGTTCTGGGCCCTTGCCAAGATTCTGAAGTACAGCAGCCTCCACCTCCTTTCTGTGCACTTTCTTGAGTCTTCATTGTCACTTCACTTCTGCTCACCAAGTACAGGGAACTCAGATTCAGCAAAGCATTTTGCAGTGGATATGATTCCACAGTTCATTCCACAGTGAAAGAAACAGATAAATAGAGTGCAATTATAGCAGATTTCTCGCCTTTTTTGAAAAAAAAAATTATTATCACCTCCCTAAGGAACCTTTTAAGACATTTTTTTCCTAACACTCCTTTCAGGAAATTTTAATACCACAGCTGTACTAAAATTCTGTTTATGTTCCTTTGTGCTTTATACTTCAAAAGAGGAAGATTTTTTTTTTTTTACCTCTCCAGAACCAATGTTTACTCCCCTTGGGGGAAATATCACCCCCATTGTGAGTGCATGGATTATAGGAAAGTACAATGGGATAGTCGTAGGGAATATAAAATGGCAAGTGAACCCCTAAATTTTATAAACATTATTTCTCCCATTTCCTCCAACTGAATGTCTCAGCTCCATGAGTTCTCGGTTCTTAGTCTGTCATCCCTCTTTTTCACTCTCTCCCCAATTCTGAATTTCACCATTTTGCTCTCTCATGTGAATTTATAGGTGTACATTTATTCAAAGTAGTAATCTGTATAGATAAGGGGCAGCTTAGGGAAGATGATTTCCTAAAACAGTCTTCTAAGAGATTTTCCATTTGGAAGAAAGAGCCTCAAGAACACTCAAGTTCGTAGAGCAGCATAACAGACCCGACTATCGGGGCAGATAAAGGTGTATGTGTGGAGTTGTTTTTCAGAGGAGAAAACATCCTAACAGATCATTCTGTGGGTCACAACAGGCTTGAATATGGACATTCTAGAAATAAATATTGGCTTTGACTTTACTATATAAATTCTTTTGGGACGGCTGCGAGGTCTACCCATGGGATAGTGAGTCCCTTTTCTCTGGCAATACAGTGTAACCAACAACAGCATCCTCTCCCTTCTAGAAGCTTCCTGAGGCATGCAGCATTGGTGATGGCAGGCCCTTTGTCGACCATCTACAGGGTCTGTATGTGGCAGTGACCAGACAAGCCGTCCAAGAGGCACAGAGGCCTCAAGACGTTGGTGAGTAGCTCCTTCAGTACTTGGTCTCCCAGGGGTATGGAGTTGGGGTGTAGGTGTGTGGTGTCCCTCTGGTGACTCTGGCCACTTGTGATTATTTTTGTCTAAATTAATTAAAATTAAATAAAGTGAAACATTTGCTTCCTCATTTGTTCTAGCCACATTTCAAGAGTTCAGCCATAACATGTGGCTAGTGGCAGTGAAGTTGGACAGCGATGATCAGACACGTCCATCATTATAGAAAGTTCTGTTTGAACTGCTGTAGGTGCTTAGGAGAATTAACTGGAGAATCTGAGAAAGATAAATGTCCCTACCTGAGACATGTCAGGAATGTGTAGAACAATTGGCTGTTTTGAGTCAAGGAAACGCTTCCCACCTGGTGAAAGTAGGCCTGGGGAATCCTCATTGGCCTGGGGAAGCTGTAGGTCAGCTAGAACTTGGGTGAGTGACTCCTTTGTGTGTTTATATATTAGCACTGCACCCCAGCTTTCTGGGGATGCATGGTGAGTGCCAGCATCTCCTGGTATGCAGGCATTTATCACTAGCTTCCTGGATCTTTCTGATTCCAGATCCTCAGACTACTCCCAACACCTGCCCCCAGGAAACTGACAGCCAGCTTCTGAGCCAGCCCGAACAGCCTGTCTCCTCAGCACCATCCCTCCCGGGGCCCACCGAGCCTACCGTGAGTCATGCGCACTTCCTGGGTGGTGTACTGAGAGTTGATGGTACCAGCACCTGGAGTCCCCCAGCCAGCAGACCCGGGAGCTGCCACCTAGTTAATGCTGCCTAACAACATTGGGGGAGATTGGTGACCCCGTGTCTAATCTGTAGACTTCTAGATGGAGGCCTTGGCCTACCTTCCCTTGCTGTCTCCTCTCTGCGGTTCTTGCACTGACTGATGAACCCTGACTCCTTGCCCACTATACCTCATTCCAGTCACGGGCTGTGATGTTGCTTGCTAGGGAGGAGGGGAGTACACATCTCCTGCAGAGTCTTCTGTCACAGTCGCTGCCTGATGTAGATTTCGAAGAAGCCATGCCAGTTTCATCAAGAAGACCTCCCCCTAGCCAGAGCCACGGAGGGAAGGTGTTCCTTCCCTAACATAAGTGAACTGTTGAAAGCCCTTATTAAACTTGTGTTCCCTTTTCCCTCCTGAAGGAAGCTTCAGGCCCTCCGAAGAGACCTCAGCTATTAAAGGTCAAGAGGAAGAAGCTAAGAGGGCTCTTCAGTTAACCCGCCACTGTCTCAGCTGCTGAAGATGGCCTTGAAGGACAGCATCCTAGTGTCACCCCAAGGACCCCTCCGGACAGTGTCTGTGGCACAGGTTCCGCTGTGAGAGGCCACACTGGAAGGGCGCCATAACTGCAGCTCACGCTGATGGGCCTCCTGGGCGGGAATCTCGGCCCCTACCTTCTGGGCACTGGCATTCCCTGTCTGAGTGGAAGCCAGTCTCTGGGAATCCCACATCCTCCTCCCTGTTGGTGAAGGTTTTCTAGGCCTAGACTGCCCTAGGCTTTGGGTATATAGGGCAAGTCTCCAGAAAGGTGCTTAAGGAAGCCTTGTCTGCCTTTTGAGAGTCCTGAGCCAGTCCTGGTATGTGCGACCTGCTCCCCTCTCTAGCCTGGAATAAAAGCAGTCACACTCCCCTGCCCTTGAGTTTACTTTTTCGGTAGAACACATTCAACACTCCCACCCCTTGGTTGTGTCTGGGTGAAGTCTAGGCCTCAGTCCAATCCTTGCGATTCTTCTTATGCTTCTCGACCGTGGCTGCGCTCAGTCCCTGCAGGAGCACTGAGCTTGCGAATCTCTCCATGGTAGGTCCAAGTCTGCGATGTTCCTCTGCCCAACTTGGGGGGTTACTGTGTCTTTTAAATGTGTTTCCAAGGTAAGGACAACAGGTGAATCCAAACACGGATTGAAATGACAGTAAGTTCCAAGCACTGGGGTCAAGATCATTCCTTACTTCCCCTTTACCCCCCCCCACCTCCACCCCAGTAAGAAAAAGAGGGATTTTCCTTTCCCATTATTCACTGCACTTCAAAGAACATAGTAACTAGAAGAACAAGGAAAGATAGGATGACAGGGAACAGGAAATGGCCACAGTAGTTCCCTGGGACAACAGAACTGATCTACAGAACAAATAGTGCTTAGCAGGAAAAATGGAAAGACCGTGAGATGTAGGCAGAGTCTTAGGCAGAAAGCTAACTCTTTGGACAAGTCTAGCGAGATTCAGAGACCAGAACCGTCCCCGGCTTTCTCTGCTAGATTTCCCTCTGTAGGTAAGACCTCCTGAAACTCACCCTGGAGACGTAGGGAGCCGAGTCGAAGGCAGATGTTGACTGGGAACAGAGGCCAGAGGGGCCTTGCCTGGTTTTTTCCCCATCCTCGTACTAAGCCATGGGGGAGTGGATAATCCCAGCAAATAGAAGATAACAATGACAGTAGGGACAACAGCAGAAATGAACAGCTAACATTTATTGGCAGTGATGGTAGTAATTGCTGGGTTCCAATCAGCACCCCACATTGGGTTCCGCAGCATCATGTGAGGGAGGTGCTGGTTCCTCACTTGGAAATGGAGTCCTGAAGTAGTTGGATGACTTACCAAAAGCCACACGACTGATAATCACAGCTAGAATTTGAGCCCAGGTAGCTGAGTGCTTCCCGGCATTATCATGCATGTTACCAGAAATATGCTCCAGGGGGCCTGCTAGGTCCTTTCCTGTCCCCCACTGTAGCCGTCCCCTGTGGTCCTGCCTACTTTAGTAGGCTGCTCTGCTCCCCACTGGTTCTTTGAGGGCTCCAAGGCTTTACCTACTGGCAAAGTCAGCACTCATCAGGGCTCATCCCGAGCAGCTTCTGACTAGGGAGTGCACGGAGGTGAGTAGCAGACCTCGGAGAAACTGTCAGGTGGCTCACTTTGCTCCTTGGTTTCTTCTTGGCATAAGGTAGGTGGCCAGATTTCCATAGCTCCAGGGTCTGAGACCACATGGGAAGTGGACAGCAAGCAGTGAGAACTGCTGGCCCTGCACTCTGGGCTAATCCCTCTGTCCGAAGAGCACATCTCAAGAGCAAGCATCTTTCATTATAGGGAGACCAGGGACTCGTGTATCCCCTAAAATTGTAAGTAAAATTCTAAGAGCATAATTGTCTATGTTCTCAAAAAAAAGGGGGGGGGAATGAATTTTCTAAAAGGTTAAGTAAGAGTTTACCTAATGCCTTTCTCACCGGCTGCCCCCTTTATTCCCAGAGGTTGGGGATATTGCCTGGACACATCCTTGGAGAATCAGCTCCTGGGGCCTGCCTCCAGCGTTCTTGCCCTAAACCCTTACTCCCCGGGGCTGGGGGTGGTGGCTGCGAATCAGTCATCCCGGACAACTCCAGGGAAACCCCTGCCTTGACAAATTGGCCTAGCCAGGCAGTATTCCAACCCTGCCCCTGGCTTGGGCCCCTCCCCAGGCCCCCAGCCTGGCCCAACCCCCACTCCACATGCACATAAAAGGGTCGAATTCTCGTGGCTGCTCCATAAATTTTATTCCGTAAATATTAGTTTTCCCTGTGTTTAATAAAGCAGTGGCCCACCTCCCCGCCTACCCGCCCGCTCCCCGGGGCCGGGGCTGGGGCCAGGGCTGGCTGGTGGGAGAAGGGACTCTTTCAATTGCTTTGGAGTATTTTTAGAAAAAAAAATAATATAAGGTGGTTTACACGAGCAAGTCAGCAAACCAGGAGCAGGACTGGGGACCTCGAGGAAGTTCCTGCAAGAACTTGACCTAAAAAGTAGAGAAATAGCGCCACCTAGGTTGCAAGGCCCACCTGGCCTTGCCGGGCTTCACTCCTCCCCCACGGCGAGCCTGACAGGCAAGCTCTTTGCTGCGAGAGAACGCTGCGTCCCTTAGCCCTCCTGCTGGGCAGTGCCTCCTTTACTCAGGCCTCACCGAGGGCTTTCCCAGCAGCCCTTGAAGGCAGAGCCCCAGCCCAGGCCTGGAAAATCCCACTTACAGTCTTTCTCCTTCCCCCATCAGTCTCCCAGATCAAGGAGTGTTTCCAGAGGCGAAGCAAAGTCGTGGAGAAGAGGTGAAAGCGCTCCTCGCCTTCATCTCCCCACTGAATCCTGAGGAGCTCCTCCTGAAACGCCTAGGGCGTGCTTGGGGTGGCAAAAAGGGAGAGCTGTGCGCCTGGGTCTGGACTCTGAGGAATCCACCCTGTCCACCCTGTCAGACCGAGGCCTGCGTTGCCCTCAGCCTGCAGTGAGCCATGAGGTCAGAGAGATGCTCTGGTCTCCCCAGGACTCCCGTTCCCTCTTCTGTATTTTTTCCTGTGGTACATTTGAAACGCCTTGCCTTTGCCTCCTATTTCTGTAAACCTCCCGTTTCCCAGGGCCCTGTCTTCTCTCTTGCCTGGGCCCGCTGGAGACAGGCAGCAGCCCCTGGTGTTATTTTCTGCACAAGGTGGTCGAAGGCCGGGGAATGGGAAAGGCTGGTCCCAGGTGTAGTGTGATTCTTGACATTGCACTGGGGGCATTTTCTCTCCAATCATTCTGTCCCTCATTTCCTCCTATTTACAAAACCAGGAAGATTTGCTCCAAAGAGTATAGGGGAAATTGAAAATCTCTTGAATAACCCTTTGTTGTGATGTGGTAAGCTTGCTTTATTCTGTTCTGCTTACCTGTCCCTCTCTGCTCTGATGCAATCTGTGTTTAGGGACTATGTGCTCTTCGTGAGATTATATTCTTCGAGAACAGGTCCAGTTTAATTGGAGAAACACCTCTGTGCTGGTGTATACTCCTAAAGGGGCTGCTTTGTGTTAACTGGGTTCTGCTACAATCAGGATGTACTTTTTCCAACCTCTGCCCTGAATGTTTTCTAACTTTTCATTTTCCTGAAGAAGAAACTGTTCAAAAGGAGTAACAGAACACAAAGAAGCCTTCAGAATCAGAGTTCAACGAAGGCTGATTGCTAGTCTGTTATCAGCATCAATAAAGGTATAGGCTCCCCAAATAGTGGCCAGTCGTACATTGGTGGCACTTAGGTACAGGGAGAAATGCCAGAAGGGAAGGGAGCCCCGACTTTGTGATGTAGCTGCGGTTGCTACAGAATATTCTTGAAGGCTCCTGGCTGCTGTTTTGTCTTCCATGTTCCTCGGAGAGGGCCTTGAAAGATCCCACCTTGAAGGGAGACATTGGAGTCAGGAGGGGAGGAGGTAGTTTGGGGGGAGAGTGTGACGTGGAGGTGTCCCTTGGGAGTCCCTCTCTACCCAGGAGCCCAAGCCCACCTATCCTCTGTTTTTCAACCCCAAATCCCCCAAGGAATACTTTCCTGTCCCCTGAGGATTTTGGTGACCTGTTTGCTTCTCCACATTTCTGGGGTCTGTCTTCTCCACTCTGGCACATGGGAAGGCATGGGGTAGTTCCAGAACAGTCTAGCAAAAGCTTAATTGCCCCCTCTCAGCAGTCTCGTCCTGACTGCACTTTGTTTTTGCCATGCTTTCCACGTGCCCGGACTCTGTGAGTCTCAGCCCCTTGGTGCATGGGATCCTGAGGAACCCGGAAGAGACAGGAAGAAGTCAGGAGCACAGAGCCATTGACTCACCTGGGAAGCCTGTGCCATTCCTTGTCCTGCTGGGCCCCGAGCCAGGAGTTAAGGGAGCATGCAGTGCCACACTGTTCTTTCCTCCTCTCACTTTGGGGTCAAAACCAGCAGCAGAGCTAAAATTGGGGAGTAGGGCTGGGGGGCTGCTGGGAGTCCCTTCAGAAATCTGGGTGTTGTGTTTACTTTTTCATATTGGCAGCTGGAAGGGGAAGCCCATCCCAACTCGGCATTGTTGTCTGACATGGTTAATCAGATCCTATAATCCTGCTGTGGAAATATTGGGCCTCACTCAAAACAATAGAGACCAAGAATATTGTGGTTAAATTTCAACCAACTGCCTCCCTGGTCTGTTTGCCTAACCCCTACCCCCTCTCCTGGGCCAGAGTCCTCGCACTTTATGGACCCCTGATAGGATCGACAGCCGGTCAGAAATCGGTGACAGGAGAAGGGAAAACGGAGTAGAGGAAGGGTAATCCTCTTGACTGGTACTCCATCCTGCCTCTCCCTCCCACCCCTGAAGGGTGATGGGGGAGGGGGATGTGAAAGGAGTAGAAACTGGTGGGGACATTCCTCAGGGTCTGGGTCTCCATTCAGGGGTCCAGAGTGGGGCCGCGGGGGGACCCTAGGGAGAAAAGAGATTGCACAGACAGTACAGACAAAGACGGCTGCCAGATAAGAAAGCAAGATCCAGTTTCAATTATGACTGCTGCCTGGCGCTTCCTGGGCACCTGACAATGCCAGTCGGTCCTATGTCACCCTTGAGAGGAACAGGAAGGCGCAGGTTGGGGACAGGAGAGTGGTAATAAATATTGCTGTTTCACTAGTCATGTGATAGGACAGCAATATAAATAATAATACTCTGATGATGGAGGAAAGTGATACTGATACCCCAACTTGAACGGTTTTCTAGCAGTGTGAATGTCCATTATGTTGCTCTCTTGAGTAAGGATGTACTAAATGTGACAGGCTCATTTGTAATTAAAATTGCAGGACAGAGGGCATGGATACTCTGTGCAGTGGCATTTTGAATTAAAAAGAAGAAGAAGAAGAAAGGTCTGGA